AAGTCCAAGACCACGAAAATACCTTAAAACACTTCCAAACTCACTCATTTCCATCTCAAACTCATATCCAAGCTTCCCACTATGATCCTAAACCAAAATAACTCACATATTCAACACAAAAGACTCAAAATTGCACTAAAAACCACATACAACCCAAACCATAAAAAGGTCAACATGCATGCATCAAAACTCAAGAAATCACCAATACTTCAGCCTTTCATCAAGAACACTCAAAACTCCAATTCTCAACATACAACCTCTTTGGATTCAATCTCTATAGCTATAGATTCCAGAAACTCCATTAACCATAGACTCTTAATACCTTTGACGTATCAAATTCTCAACCAAATCCAAGGTCCCAATAGTTTCTAGTTGATTAGCAAAATACTTTGTCCACTACTACTTGCACATGTGCTCGCAACACGAACGATACCACCCAACCACTACTTCTTAGTAAGCAAGAAGTATCAAAACAAATAAGCAATCATGAGAATGAAGAAAGTAATCATAAATAGCATCAACTAAGCTATATTATGTCTACTAGCCATATTTTGAGAACGGTACTCTCGCATCTGGCTCTCAAATTCCCAGGTTGCACTCTCCTCGGTTCCCTATTAGAAACTATACTAGTAAGAAAATTCATGTAACCTCACTACCTCACCGATGTACAACTCTATCAATCTCTTTAAAAAATATCTAATATTAATAAGGATAAGGTGAGCAACCTTGGTCAGTCTATCCACTATAACCCAAATGGAATCAAATTTCTTAAGCATCTTAGGAAAACCTACAACCAAGTCTATTGACACCACCTCACATCCAAACTGGGACGTCTAAAGGCTGCAAAATTCTTAAAGACTTATAGTGTTCTATCTTAGACCTCTGACTAGGGATGACAAAAATACCCGCACCCGCAGGTATCTACGGGTAAAATCTGTTATGGATAATAAATGGATAGGCTAATTGGGTATCCGCGGATAATGGGGACGGATAATTTTTTACCCGTTTATAAATGGGACGGGGGCAGGTATGATGATATGCATACTCGCAGGTACCCGTTTAATAATACTTTTTAAATATCTTAATTATCTTTGTATCACATAACCCTAAAACTTACTCTCTCATCTTATTTTCTTACAAAAGTGAGGTTAATGAAATTAACAACATGTGTTAAGCATGTTATAGAATTATGTTGGATGTAATTTGATTAATTTTCTAGCTTTGATTGGACCAATAAGATTTATATATTTTAAGTTATTTACTTCTGTTTGGAATTATGAGATTGAATTATTGTAGTTTTGTGATGAGACTTTAACTTATTTATGAGATTGATGTATTTTAAGTTATTGATCATCTTGCATTTTTATTATTATTTCAACAAAATCAACATTAAATATGAGTTCAAAATTAACACTTAATTTTTATTTTTAATATTTCAATGACATTAAATATAAACTTAAAATTATTTATAATATAATTTTTTTAATTTTTTAAAAAATTTATAAATATCCATGGATATCCTGGGTATTTAAGAAATTCATGGATACCCGTTTAATGGATACCCGCGCGGATATGGGGTGGGTATGGGGCCAATTTTCATCCAGCGGGGCGGGGGCGGGTTTACTATTACCCGCCCCCATGGGGCCCCATTACCATCCCTACCTCTGACATACTAAACACGAATACACAAATTCCTCTACTTCTCTCTTCATCTTAGGCCACCAGAACATCTTTCTAAGGTTTTGATACATCTTAGTAGCTTCTGGGTGAATACTAAGAGTACTCCTATGTCCTTCCTCTAAGATCATCTTCCTTAAATTCAGGATTCTAAGCACCCAAATTTTATTCTTGAATTTCAAAACAATATCAGCTCCTACTCAGAAAGGGTTATCTATACTCCTGCTAATCTTCTCCACTTGGTTCACTAAGAAAGGATCTAACTCCTAGGCTTCTCTAATCTCATCTATTAATTCACTAGTCACTTTCAATATTCTCAATTCAATGCTCCTAAGGGTAAGCTCACACACCAAGCTTAAGTATCTAAATTCTTGAATCAAATCCAACCTATAAATCATCAAAAATGATAGATGAATGATCATCCTACTCAAGGCATCTTCTACAATATTAGCTTTACTTTTATGACCTTCTCCAAAGATCAAGTGCTTAAGCGTAAGTTCACTAGGTACACATACTTGGTCTCAAAGTCTTACCACTCTATCTATACCCAAGGCAAACTCTTATCCACTACCTTGTCCTATAGCCTCTTGTCACCAAAATGAATCAACTAATTATGCTTCTTCAATTTCCTTCAACAATCCACTCGTTACTCGAGTCATACCTAGTTGCACACTACTAGGAGTAGTCTCACAAGTCAAACTTAAATCCCTAATTTGAGCCAAAAGATGCATCTCTATAATCATAAGGGAAGATAAATGTAAAAGTTTCCTACTCACAACATCGGCCACCACATTGGCTTTGCCCAAATGACAACTAAGATCAAAATCATAGTCCTTAAGAAATTCCAACTATCTCATTTGTCTCATATTCAACTCTTTCTGGTCAAAAGATATTTAAGACTATCATTAAACACCTCAAATTTGGAACCATACTAGTAATGTCTCCAAAATTAAAATGTGAATACCAAAACCGCTAACTCAAGATCATGGGTAGGGTAATTCCTCTCAAATCCAACTTAGAAGCATCACAATATACCACAAAAGACTTACTAAAATATGGTAATATTAACACTGACACATTGGTCAATATTTCCTTAAGAGTTTGGAAACTACTCTTACACTTACTATCCCACACAAGGGCAACTTTCTTCCTAGTCAATCTAGTTAAAGGTGATGTTATCTTAGAAATTTCCTTGGTAAATGTCCAATAATAATAAGCTAACCTAAGAAAACTCCTAACCTCACTAACTGACTTTGGTATCTCCCACTTAATCACAACTTCTATCTTAGATAGATCTACATTATACCTCCACTAGAAATTATAGGACCTAGAAAACTCACCTCATATAATCAAAAATCATACTCAGATAACTTAGCATAAAAACTGTCTTGGATATATCTTCACCCTCAACTCCAATATGATGATATCATACCCTAAGGTCAATCTTACTAAACACAAACACCCACTAATTGATCCATAAGGTTATCTATCCTCATATCATACATGCATATCAAATCATATTGAAATACCTATTTTAACATTCATATATGCTATCCCCAAGCATATATGAATCAATCACAATTTACACCATATAGCATGTCCATGAACCAAATTTACCACATAACATCATACAACCTTAAACAACATTTCAATCCACATGAAAAAACCTCAGAACATCATAACAAAATCAATTTTTATCCTTGCAGTGTCTAATAACTCAAAAACATCATGACAACATACATCTGCCTTCAACAACTGTCAAAGAAAATAACACACAGAGAGTTGTAGTCATACAAATAATCTCTAACATATCTCAAAAGAAAACTAAGAGAATAAGCTACAAATCTTATGTGGACATGAAATTCTAAAAAGATCATATTCCTAGCGAAAAATTTCAAAAACGGTAATAGATATAATCAACGGTAACAACTAGACCTTTGATGACTTTTGATCACTAAAATAACTATAATTGGAGTTCTAGACCTACGTTTACCTAATTTTAGTGCCATTGGAAAGATAACATCCAAGGATATAACTTTCATGAAGACCGCAAAATCTAATTCTATCAATATAGCACTCATACTGGCACGACAAAACTGCAGCGAAATTTTCATTTTGCACTTTCAAACACCTTCTTGTTTCCTCACTCTCATCAACCTCTATCTTGCATTCAATATAATTAAAAATGTTACATATTAGTATTGTGTCATTATAAGGTTATGATCCCTATATGACATTTTTTTTTATAGTGATTAAAGAGGTGGTGACTAATGGAAGAAAGGGACTTTTTTATTTTATTTTTTTTAAGGTGAAAGAGTG